AGTGATTATTTAAACTTTCAGTCAGCTAGGATGATATTTTCTTTGATCTTAGATTCAAAATATGGAGACTCAGGGAAAAATTACAACGGGCTTTTGTGGCGTGGACATCAAATTTCTCTATGATGACACTCACAGATACGGCTGATACCACTTGATCATGCGAAGAGTTCCAGTCACTGACCACTCTAAGTAGGAGTTTGAATTTCCTCTGGGGTCAATAACCAAATCATCCTTGAATGTTTGACTAGCACAACTAAGTCAACGCAAAGGGTTTTAGGTGTTTCAATTTCTTTGAATAGGAAAGGTGCTAGACACCGCTGAATAGCTTATTGCTTATTCTTTGTGCTCTTTCTAGGACTTGTGCCTTCTTGAAGCACAGACTAGCTGCCGGTGTGCAGTTTTCAAGAGAAGATCCAGCGTGACTAGTGGGGTGCCCTAAACATATCCTGATCTAAGTATTTACAAGCCCTTTGAAGTGTCCATAGTAGATCTAGATGAATATGCAGCTGCTTTTTAAGTGATGATTGACAATTATTCTTAAATTCTTTTGTTACTTAAAATCAGGCAATTTTATTCCCCCGTCAGAAAGTACTTCGTGTAAGATCCCTTGTATAGGTGCACTGTAGACCGTTTTCGCGAACTGATTTCCAAACTCAATAGACAGGATCATTTACTTAATTTATCTAACTCACCTTTTAAACCTAACTTGTCATCACTAATGTTTATGATTCATGTCTCAATACCAACTGGAAATATGATATGTTAGGGATTTTCATTAATGTACAGTAGGGACAGCAACAGGTAAGTTGCTGTAATACCCTGTTGCTTCCCTCTCGGTGCAGGTTTCAACTCCGAGAATACACATTTACTTTTTTCTTTCTACCCGCTAGGTTGTTCCTAAAACTACCACATTGGCAGTTACCTAATCCTAACCCTCTTAGTTTATTGAGACTCGGTATGTAGGCTACCTTATAGAATGCCTTATCAGGTCCGATAGAAATATCAATAGGTAAGTTGTCATCCCTGTCTTATGTCCAGTTTTCTCTTGCCTACAATAAGTTTGTTAGACAAAATCGTATTGGTTTCGATTCATGCTGTTCATCCGTCAAAGCATTTTATGGACTTTAGATATGATATTGACCCTGTCAAGTAGTTCATTGTTGTCAACAGACAGACAAACTAATAGAAAGATGACTGCATTCGCAGTGACTTGCAGAATTAAAGTTCATAAACCCATCCTCTATATACAGAAAAAAACCGGTATTTTCTTGGAATCCAGCATGTTAATATCTCTTAATTACTAGCTGTTGTTATTATTAATATTCTATCCTGTCTCTGATTATTATTCATTTAAAATTACCCTTTGTCAGTACCATTATCTTAACTTTATTCAGGTTACAATTCTTGATATTCCCAAGTTGTCTCTTTGATAACTAATTCTTTAAGTGATGTAACAGAGCCGTATGTGTTTCTGTCCAACGCGAAAATATCAGATAAATATTTCGAAAGGTTTTAGGCCTTCACTCTATCTGCTCCAACCACCTCATCTATATTGTTTAAAAGCCGTAGTGTACCATTGTTCACTACTCTTCTACTTTTTATATATGGGTACAGTGTTTTGGGGAAGTGTGGTCAATCTTACACTAACTGTCTCTCATGTAGATAAATTTTGTTAGTCATACACTCACAAAGGTTCCAAATATCACAGTGGTCTATCCGAAAATACTCAGTCCTTTCTCAGTTAACTAATCTCATAATCGTATGCACATTCCTAGTAACCTTATTTGGCTATGAATCCAAGATGATTTATGCAGTGGCTTTCAAGAAGTATACAAAGGTAAAACAGGTGATATGTTCCTAAATCTTACCCTAGCTTCCTTAACTGTACTTGTCGTGATAACTGATCAGTCACCTAAGAATTCTGTATTCCTGATTGCTAATATATCACTTCAGACGTTTGGATGAAAAGTTGTTGACATTTATACGAAGTCATTAGTCTTAAGTGTTGGTGGCATAGTGGTAGAAAGCTCGCCAACCACACAGGTGGTTCGGGGTTCGATCCCCAGCCGACGCACTCCTTCACCTAGCTAAGCCAGTAATAAGACTAGTAAAGACGGAAGGTTGAGCACCAGGCTAGCAACCCCATTCCGCAAAATTAAACACCACTGCTACCGAAATTTCAAGCCTCTGGCTTAAAGCCTCATGTTCCACTGGGAACGTAAAGAATAAAACAGAACAAATGAGTCTTGAACATAAAAATATTAGCTACGTGGTCACTGCCTCTTTAGCCGTTAAAGGCACCTAATGTCACTCACATCCTCTATCTGGTCTGTAAATATTCAGTCCAGAACTGTCGGTTAATGGCAGGCGGGAATTCTGTATATAGGCTTGATCGTCACAGTACACCTATCTAGATTTATATTACTACTTAGGGCTTCACTAGAGCCACTATCATACCGTTATGAACCAGTTGATTTAGTTTCTATATAATCTTGAATGTACAAAGCGACTCTGTTTCGTCTCGACTAACAAGCTTGTCTGCTCTGATACGGATATACCCTAGTATGTGTGGAGTGAGGTCTATACCCACTTTTAACCATGTTCTTATTGTCGCTTTAACATTAGGAAGCTTGTTCCTAAGACTGCACTAGAATATACCATTTACTCTTAGCTTTCGCTTTCTACCAGTGACGTAGGTTATTATCCAATCCGGACCTCTTCAGTTTATCCAAAATAGGTATGTAGAACACTTTGTCGAATGTTTTATTGATATCAATGAGAACATAACTCGTTTAGTTATCATTTCTGACTTTTACGCAAGATGTTTTAAAATTCTTTCCACACCATGCATATTTATTCAATGTTCCTCCATGCTTATTAATAAATCTGTGTAGATAATCAATTGCAAGTTAGCTCTCGGTAATTGTAGACTTAACTCTGACCGTTTTGAACATAATTTTATTTCAGACGAAAATGTTTACACGGATCAGTAAGAGAAAAGCCTTTAAAGTGATTGAGTAATTTTTTCATATACCCTAGGATATTAATACCTTGAGAATATTAAATAATAATTATTACATGAAACTGGGCATATTTCCTACTCTACCATAAATTCTCTTGTGATATAGGATGTATTGAATTTAAAGATTAGTGTCTTATATAGGACTATTATAGGCAAGAACTGTGTCATCGATTTGTCTTCTCAACTTGAGTATTCTTCTCAGTCTGTCTAAACTGACCCATGAAATCGTAATCTGGGATCAACTCAGAATTAATCCTATTAATATATGTGTAAAACTTGGGCACTGTGGTAGTAAGTAATTCCATATTAGATTGTTTATTAGATATATCACACAGGGAAACAGTATTATTTACTTTTATTGTTCAAAATCATATCAATTGTAATCACACGACTTTGACACTCAGAATCGACTCAGAATTAATTGACTAGGAATTAATCCTCATGATAACTTTGTGTCATTTAGGCTATGGTATATTTTCGGAGTGGATGGATGTATCCTTGATCGGCTGACTGATTTCAACATAGAATTTTGCACAGATGTGCAGCAATTCAACTTGCTACACCTCCTTCTTATAGCACAAAATCAAGAGAAGAAAGTAAACAGAAGTGTGAGGGGAGGAAAAAGAATGGTAATATTGAAGAACAATGGAGTTTGATTGGATATGACAAGTCACACACACAATGAATGCATATGCGCCATTAAGAACTATGTAACTCCACAACCTCATTGATTCACTTCCCCTCCTTACCTAACACTCGATGCCTAACCTCAATATTACTTGCCCTATTGTGCCACCCGACACAGGTGACAGACCGCAGACACCCGTGATCAAAGACAGCTAGCCAGGCTTTTCAAGCCTCCTCTTTGAATGGTTATTTCTCATTGGCATAAAGGAGAACAGAGAGAACTGCTGAGCAGTATTCATGTCCTTTGGTTGACATTTGGATATCACGTCTACCAAGCCGGAGATGGCGTACGTTGGCGGGCACATGACAAACGAGTCTTCTGTATCCGTGCTGAGATTTCGTCAGTTATCAATCCATTGGGGCTGGCTGATGCAAATTTATTTTTAATTTTTGATAACATCGCCATAGTATCTCTCGATCAACGGAATAGAATATCTATTTTAGGTTAAGAAATATAACAATTGTTGGACGCCGGTAAGTAGTATGCCTATGTTCCAGAATCTGTCGACGTGATTAATACACCCTCCTCTCGGTCGAAAGCCTGCTTGGTTCTCTCGCGTTTGTTTCTCTTCATACGTATCAAATGTAGTTATATGACCTCTCATTCTGGTGAATAAAGAAGGTTGATGTGTTGGCATACAGCCTATTCGATTTCTTGCAAAGCAATAATTTCAGGCAAAGAATTCTATCAAGTAGATTAGTGCAGACTATTCCTCTAACTTACGGTTAACCAGTATTACTAGTTGGTTTCATATACTTATTAGATATATTACATAACCGATTTTTATAAACAGCCTAATTTATAACTTAATATGAAATTTTTTGAAGTTGCATTTTGACAAGTTTTGTTGTTTCAGCGCCTCTTTAACATTGTACGGCTTTGCTTTACCATTTCTGTTATTATTATGCACTGTTTATGTGGTGAGAGCTGTCTGCTAGCCAAAAATGGCGGGCAGTAGTTTACGTCCCAAATATTGGTCATGAGAAAAACGCGAACAAAGACTGACTCAAAAACCAATCACAGCAGACTTTGCTTAGGCGGATGCAATTCTCACATAGATGATCTGACCTTCAAGAAACGGCCACAAAGAGATGAAATATTAACCAATCAGAAGACTGTGCTTGTCTGCTAACAATAATCTATAATAATGTACATGAAAATCTATAAATATCTGTTGATTTCCTCAATAGACGATCTGTTGCCTGAATCTCGCCTTCTGTCGTTACATTTTAATTGGTTTACTGATATTATCCTCTTTCTAGAATAACATTTCTTGTCACATTATTTACAATGGTACTTCCATCGTTTGACCTACTATCGAGTGCATCTGAAAAACTTAGTGAATTAGAAACAGCTCTTGAAGAATTAGATCAAATCAAGCTGTTCACAGATGTTGGTAGACGTAGGAGAAGGCGAAGAAATGAAGCCTTGTATGGTATGGGTTTCGAATCAGAAGATCATGATTATTACATACCTGTGGAATCATGCTGTGATATTGCCTTCTATACTGAAGAAGAATACAAAAAGCATTTAGATAGTCATATTGAAGTAAGTTGTCCCAGCTAGCATTATTTTCGGGAGCACTGCAGAATCTCAGAGGCAAAATACTTCGAGCGCACAGACTTACGTGGGACAATGCTCCTAAGCCTTCCTCAACCATTCTGCAATGCGACCGAAGTCTGCCCCAAACATTCTGCAATGCGCCTTTCTTTCTAAGGCTGACTAAAGCCTGGGACAACGCGCCTACGGTTCCGCACTTTACCCTTAGTCTACAACTAACATAGAGTCAAATCTATTATGTACAACAGCTCGTCTCGAAAAACTGCATACAGTCAGTAGCTCAACGACTCACGATATTAAAAAGCAGTTGATTTTAATGGGACATATATTTAATAATCTTGACAAATGAATTTACAATCCTTCGACACATCATAGAAGTCAAACATTATATAAATCACCAGAAGCATTCCTTCGTGTGCTTCCAGCATCTGGTATGTTCTCCTTGTTTATGTCGGCGGTGATCTGAAAATAAAATTTTGAAAAAATAGAGACCTACCAAAGGGGAACGTCATCGCTTTCTCATCCTCGACTTCAGTCTGTCGAACCAACGCTGAATTAAAGTCACGATTGTGTCCACTATGCTACGTTGATCAGCACTGCCTTGTTGGTGTTAACTGTTAATAGTTCCATAAAATCTACAATGAAAAAATAAATTCACTTACGTATCACAAGGTTACACGTTTTTGTCTCCTTGAATTGTTTCTTCTCCTTGGTACCAGCCCATGAAAATTGTGAGTTGTATTTCGGCTCCAGCAAAACATTCTTTTCCAACAAGGATTCCAGTCCAGTAGAAGACTTCTGATGAAAAGGCCTATTAGGATGTGTTTAGATAGTAAAAAGTATATTTCATTGTTTACTTATATAAAAAAGTCTATTATTTGAACTTATGTATTACTAATGACTAATTAAGATTCACTGTTTGCGGTTCAGCAAGGTTAGCTGTCATTGGTTGGGGAAGTACATATGGGTTACTCCCATTGGTTGAATTCTAGCAAATGGTCGCTCATGCAAATGCCCCTATCATTCTGCAATGCTCCCTAAGACTGCCCCAAAGTTCTGCAATGCGCCCTAAGTCTACCCCAAATTATCTGCAGTGCGCCCGAAATTGTTGCTAGCTGGAGTTATCCTTGTGAATTTATCAGCTATTCATTTATTCAATGCCCTGTTGAAGGATGTTCATTCACATCGCATCAAAAGGCAACGCACATGCATAAAGAAGGGGTGGGTACTTATTTGTCTTCTCCCTTCTAGTTTATCTTTATCTTCAGGTTCATGATAGTGGTCTGTTTGATACAATCTATCGTCAAACATGTGATAAATCTGTAAAAATTTGGAGAGAAAGTCGCAAAAGGTTAGAATCATCTTTTGACGTATTTACTAACTATTGTTTCATTTGCATACATTATTCAATAATTGCACCTGTAAGCTTATAAATCCCTAAAGTTTTTTTCAAAAATCATAGTCAACATTGTCAAAACTAGAGGAACACCGAGAAGAGAAAAAAGTGACATCAGTGGCTATAAAGAGTAATGTTTTTATTGGCAAATAACATCACAGACTTTGATATCTTCATAGTTTGAAAGATAGGCTGTTTAAAATAATCCAAGTATCTTTAACCCTCTTTGAAATATATTCCCTAACATTCACGAAAACATGCGCCTTCCAAATATCCTGCACTAGCTACAGTTCATATTAGTATCTAGTGATTAGGTGTAATTGATAGTTTCCTGGTTGCTCTGATGCTTTCCAAGCGTTAAATAGTATCAGCAGAACTTTCAATGTCATTTTCAGTAGCACACTTCCTCCATGATTAATATTTTTCATAACACTTGATATCGTTTTCATCACGGCAGTGCATTTGACGGTGCCTGAGATAAACAATGAACCTAGTAGCAAATGAATAATTCGAACACGAGACACCTATATCGTGTGTGCTCTTTAGTTTCTAGGGTTCTCCTACGTGGTGTTAATTTTCTTATGGAGTTAAGTCAGTCGATTTCTTACAAATCTTCCAATTTTATTATCCCTTCCCAACCAACTGGTCACCAAATGTATCTATATATTATATTTACTTAGAAAAGATATATTTGCCTTCGAGCCATGATAAGAAGTTGATCAAAGAGAAGTTGTTTTTCACTCAGTCTGCTGTTGTCTATTCCCACCATTTAGTACAGTTTTTTAAGAGAGAGGTTAAAAGTCATCCAAACGATTAACTACTAGATGTTAGTAACAAGATATGATGGGAGTTTTGTCGACAGGGAGAGCATTTCTAATTGCGGAATTCAAAATAAGTCAATTCGTAGGTGTTAGCAACAAGTTATTACACAGTCAAGAAATTTGTAAAATAATGATGACTAAGAAGAATGGGATGACTTAGTAGGATTACGTAGGATGCAAACACGTTAACAGAATTTGCTAGAATTATAAGAATGACAAAGTCAAAAGATAGTTATGAGAGGAGAGGAGAAATCGTTTTTAAAAACCTAATACGTATTATGTGGTTGGCTATGGCAAAGAAAGGAGCTGTACAAATTTCTTTTGAACGCACAGATTTGGCTTATCCAGATAAATTCCGATTGCCTCTGCTGTATGTATTTATGTATGTAAAAGTCATACTCGTAGACCATGCTAGAGGTCAGGTGATATACGATAAATAACTTTAAAAGCTTTGTTAGAGTCAGCTTGATGCCCAGGCAGTGTCGACAACATGCGCCAGTATTGGGCTGCGTTGAATAGCAGCTTTATTCGGACCTTTACCAAACCAAGATTCGAGGTGTTCAGAAATTCGACGATGGCCTTACCCTGCAAGGAGAAGGGAAAAATGTGTTTTTAAAAACTTAATACACATTATGTAAACTTTTGATGTGAAAACTTATATGTTAGTGTAGAGTCAGCCGATGACGATTAACTAATTGAAGTGAAGGAATGCATATTTCTTCTCTCAATTTGTTATTTTTTAATTTTTATAAATAAACAGCAAGAAATTGCGTTTGGTTATTTGTCAGTGCTTTGTTTACTCTTTTAGCCAGAAATTACTCACCTTTGGGAAGAGTTGAAGCTAGAAAGAAACTTGTTGCAGGACGTATGGAAAGAGGACAGATATTTGAGACACCTTAATTCGAGTAAGCTTCTCAAGTATCTCTTTTGTCAGTGTTGTTCAGTAAATTTCTTTTTTTAAATGGAGGAGAGATTGTTTAGTCTGTGCTTCCTCCACGTAACAGGTAGTTTAGCTGCGAAGAACTTAAGAATTATTTCACATCTAAAACGACACATGGATCCTCACAAGAGGAACTATATTAGATGCCGTATTAACACAACTGGATGACAAGGTCTCGAGCATAAATTACTGCAACTCATAACCATATCAATTTGGTCTCACAGTTTCACAATTGGTCTTATATATATGTATATATATATCTTCTCTCTCTCCAACTTAGCCTTGTTGTTTGTTGTCACTCTCCATATATCCGGTATAGGGGTTGTGTTATTCCGATTTCACGTGTGTGATTAACCTCTCTTTCTCTCCGCCTAACTGTATTAATTTTTAACACTCTCACTCTGTCCCACCTCGCGTATTGTGTGATTACATGCAAGTGAATGCAGTGCAATGGCTGAGCCTTTTTCTAGATTGTCCAACTTAGCAGGGCCAATCATTCTACGCCCAGCTAAGTCTTCATGTTCCAATAATCTAGTTAACTCCGATCCATCACTAGTTTGAAGGCCTATTTAATTGACCTGACTCACGGTCATTACATGGTATTTGGTAAATTATATTATTGTCTTCCTTAATGGGATCTGTTGGGTCCTTAAGCTGACAAAGTTTATATCTGAGACAGTTGGTTGGTTGGTTTACATGCCACCCTAACTCCAGCCTCATTCAGAATCCTACGTAAGGCCTCTGATATTCCTTCTTTATACGGCTGTACTACAGAGACTTTGAATTCTATATTATTTTCGTTACTTCCTTCGTTCTTATTACTAATCTTATTTTGACAAAGGTGATTAAGAGTTAAAGCATTTTTATCTTAATCGATTATAAGTAATATCTCTGATAGTTTTTCAACCTATAACGGTTAGTGAGACCTTATTACATTATTTCTATTGGTTTATTTCTTCTAATTTCCTTTTCACATTCTTGTTTAAGGGTTAACAAATATACCTTTGTGTTTTTTAAATTTTTATTAAGGTCCATATATTATTATTTATGTTCCCTTGGGTTCCTAGTGGAACATAGGGCTTCAACTGCACGTCTCCACTTGCTTCTGTCTTGTGCTGTACTTTTCACTTGCGTCCATGTTATTCCATACTGTTTCATCTCCTCCTCACACGATCTCCTCCATGTCACCCTTGGACGTCCCACTCGCCACTTCCCTTTCGGGTTCCACTCGAGCTATGGCCTGACGCGCGATGTCACCCAGCGGCCTCCTCAGCGAGCGTCCAGTCCATCTCCACTTTCTCCTGCATATTTGTTGGGCGATTGGTTCTTGCTTTGTTTGTTCCCATAGTTTCTTGTTTGTGATTCTTTCCGGCCATCTGATCTTCAGTATAGAGCGAAGACAGTTGTTGATAAAGGTCTGCAACAGGCTGTTGGAAATATTCTTGGTGACCCGCCAAGTTTCTGATCCGTAAAGCAAAATTGACTTGACGTTTGTATTGAAAATCCGAATTTTGTTGTTGATGCTGCCGAGGAACGAAGATTTCCAGATTGGTTTCAGGTTGATGAATGTGTTTCTCGCCTTCCCGATTCTCGATTTGACATCCTCGTCCGTTCCTCCTGTGGTTGAGACAATGCTACCTAGATAAGTGAAAGAAGTAACCTCTTTCAAATCCCTCCCGTTGATGGTGATTGGCGCTGGATGTTGCTGTTGTTTTTGTTGTTGTTGGTTGTTTATTTTCATAACCTCCGTCTTGTCTATGTTCACCTAGATTCGTGTCTTTGCTGCTTCTTCGACCAGTTTTTCGGTTTTCGCTTGTAAGTCTTCGATTTTGTGTGACATCAAACATAAATCATCCACACGCGAAATCCAGGTCTTCAAGGTTCTTCACGTCGGTCCAGGATATCCCTGTCTTCTCGTTTCCCACTGTCTGACGCATAATCCAGTCCACCACAATTAGGAATATCATTGGTGATAATAAGCACCCTTGTCTGACTCCTGTGTTTACTCCAAACGCTTCGCTGAGTTTTCCGTTGTGGATCACTTGACATGTGCCGTTGTCGTACAGTTGTTGAATAAGGATGATGAATATTTGGGGTACGCCGTAGTACTCGAGTAGTTTCCAAATTACTTCGCGGTCAACGCTGTCAAAGGCCTTCTCAAAGTCTATGAAGTTGAGGTAGAGATTTGATTGCCATTCCATGCTTTGTTCGATGATAATGCGTAGAGTTGCAATTTGGTCAGAACATGATTTATCTTTCCTGAATCCAGCTTGTTCTGGTCGGAGTTCTGTATCCAGTGCGTCCTTGATTCTCTCCAGGATGATGCGACTCAGGATTTTACTTGGCGTCGACAGGAGCATGATTCCTCGCCAGTTCTTGCAGAGTTCTAAGTCGCCTTTCTTTGGTAGTTTCACAAGGTAACCTTTCCTCCAGTCAGTAGGCACCTTTCCCTCTTTCCAGATCTTTTGCAATAATGGAGTCAGCATATCTGCCGTCGTTTCTGGGTCCACTTTCAGTGCTTCCGGGGGTATTCCATCTGATCCAGCTGCTTTTCCAGCTTTCAGAAGCTTGATTGCATTCATGACTTCAGTTTTCGTTGGAGGATTGGTGTCAACTTGCAGTTGTGTACGTGCTGTCGTTGGTATTTCTGGACGGGTTGTAGGTGGTGGTCGGTTCAAGAGTCCTTTGAAGTGGTCCGCCCATTGTTTAATCTGTCTTTCTTCTTTGGTAATTGGGTTCCCTTGGCTGTCTTTTATAGGTTTCACTTGTGTTGATCTCTTCCCAGATAGAGACTTGGTTATCTGATATAGTGTCCTCAGGTCCCTTTTGCCTGCTGCCTTCTCAGCTTCAGTGGCCAGGTTGTCGTAGAATTGTCTTTTGTCCTTCCTGGCACTCTTCTTCATTTCTTTGCCCAGTGCCGTGTAAGTTGAACTCAACGTCTCCTTCTCTTGTCCGTCTTTGCATTGAATCATTTTCTCTTTCACCATTCTCCTCTCCTCTATTAGCTTCCAAGTGTCCGTTGAGAGCCATTCCTTGCCTAGTCTCTTCTTTCTTCCTAAAACCGTCGAACACGTTTCGTTAAAAATCACCTTCAGAGAGTTCCAATGGTCTTCCACGCATGATTCTTCGGTGGTGCCGCGTAGTGTTTCCTGCTTTGCTCTGACAGTTGCAGTGAAAGTGTCCTTTGTGGTTGTGTCTTTCAGTTTTTTAGTGTTGAACTTGCATTGTGGCCTATCCCCAGCTATCCTCGAGGCTTTCAGCTTCACCTTGAAAGTCCCTTGTACTAGATAGTGGTCTGAATCCACAACTGCTCCTCTCCTCGATCTGGTGTCCAGTAGGCTCCATCTCCACTTCCTTGAGATTGAAATGAAGTCTATCTGGTTTTTGGTGTG